GGCCGCAAGCGACCTCGGCTACGCTTGTATACCAAGATCATAAAGGATTATCTTTACTGAATGTGATATAAAAATAGATCCATATAAAAAAATTTTCGCAAAAATGCAAAGGGGGTGGTTACGTTTAGTAGTTTAGAAGGGTAGGTTGAAAGTACAAATAAGATCAAAACATGCCCTATTATGAGTTAAACATAATGGGACACTATGGGAGCCGAAGTCGCCCATGGTTCATATATCAAAGTACCCTTAAAATTCACTAAAGAATCACCCCTTGAAGTTTGTTGCAGTCATTCAGATACACCTTGTATAATGACCAAAATTGTCTAAAATTAATATTTACAAGATATAATAAATAAAATCGATTTTAAATATTCTGCCTCGGCCGCAAGCGACCTCGGCTACTGTACTGTATTTAACAGTGTAGATTGTAGCAGCTACACTAATATTACTATAACAAAGTAGATTCCACTGCCTCGGCCGCAAGCGACCTCGGCTAGTACTTTTTATACTGTGTAAATTGTAGAAACTACGCTAATGTCTCTTTAACAAAGTGAATTCCACTGCCTCGGCCGCAAGCGACCTCGGCTAGTACTTCCCTAACGATGTAGATTGTAGCAGCTACTCTAATATTACTATAACAATGTAGATTCCAGTGCCTCGGCCGCAAGCGACCTCGGCTACTGTACTGTATTTAACAGTGTAGATTGTAGCAGCTACACTAATATTATTATAACAAAATGGATTCCACTGCCTCGGCCGCAAGCGACCTCGGCTATTATTTTTTTANAAAACAGACAAATCCAAATATGTAAAAATATACAGGGTGTTCCATTTAAAAAAATAAAGTTGGTGGCGACTTCCGGTATAACCGGAAGTGCAAGAAATCTGAAAATATTTTAGACGAAGAGATCGTAATTGATAATACTTAAGTCTGAATTCTCAAATTTTTATTTTCGCCAGAACCCCAGAAACGTCTAATGACCGGTCTCGCTGAGACACGCTGTATAACGACCAAAATTGGCTAAAAGTAATATTTACAAGATATAATAAGTAAAACAGATTGCAAATATTCTGCCTCGGCCGCAAGCGACCTCGGGTACAATTGATTTAACAAGATTTACTAAATCATAAATAAATCCTTATTCCCCATAAACATCGTTGTTATGATTTTTTAAATCCAATTCTGCATGTATGATTGTTATAGATATGAAATATAAACTTTAAAAGATCGTATTTCAAGAACGAATTGAGACATCAAATTGAAATAAAGAACAATTTACAGTAAATTTGATGAAGATTGAATGTGCCATAAATAATTGCTTAACTTCCATAAACATCGCTATTATGATTTTTTAAATCCAACTCTGCCTGTTTGATTGTTATAGATATGAAATATAAATATAAAAAAATCGCATCTCAATAACTAATTGAGATATCATCATGAGGTAAAGAAGTGAAGTATCAAATATTTTCAGTGCTGAATAGCGTGAGGAATTATCTGAGAAGATGCGAGAAACTGATCAGCAGAAAGGTAAAAAGCTTGCATTGATATGTGCCAAATATTCCATATATTAACCCAAAGATTATCATATGAGTTGTTTAATAGATTGGGTCGAAAAATTACGTTACTCCCATTTCTTATTCAGAACTCATTAATACATATACTCAAAATATCCAATTATCAACTTTTTTACATAATACTTTTATTATATTTAGGGAAATTTTAATGGGTAAGAAGTGATACGATGGATGTTGGAATAGAGAAGTTTTTGGAATTTGGAGCGGAATTTGCCATAATGCAAGCAAGTTTAGAAGCTCTGCAACCCCAATTGATAAACTTTTTAGTATTGCCATAACTATCTTTTAACGCTCTGACACCATCATAATGGCAAGACCACCTAGTTTGGCTCAACCATCTTATTGAAAATTTAAGTTTTCTTTCACTATTTAAGAGGGAAGAAGATATATATTTGTTGAACTATTCCAAAAAAATTAATGATGTGAGTTGAAGTCTTTACTGCTTCATTACCAACAAGATTTAGGGAGTTAGCAGTATATGACACATAATCAGCATATTTATTGTTTTCTTTGACATGTACTTGTAATTATTATATTGACCGAACATTTTTGCAGCGTCTTATGAACATATCATGTCATAAGATTGTATAAGAAAAAACCAATAAAAATTACATTTTCTGAAAATACTAAATCAGTAAATTAGATCAGGCTGCACCGTAACGTTTTTTCAAGCACAAATCCAATGAATGGGTTCGAATTGGGTTCTTTTATAGAAACCAAGATTTGTTTTGGTAAAAATAAGAAATAAATAAATTTCGAAACGACTCACCGAGTAGATGTTGACTTCCTTGGTGCTCACATCGTAGCTCAGCTGGAAAAAAAAGATAAATTAATCTATTGCCACAAAAAATGAATTAATATGATACCTTTTAACATCCACAAAATAGCAATCCGACGATCTCAACATCACTAACATCACTCATCATTTAGCACAAATATAACATTTAGTATTTATCACTTAATTCGCGTAATAAGTTTTAATTTTCGCAACTACTTTACCACCCCACAATGTCCGCACATCAACTAAAAGCGTTATTGGCCAACCAACATCTCAACATCCCCTCCTTGGATTACAATGCAGAGTAGAAATAGTGGAGGTGCATAAATAAAAAACCATGGATGACGAATTGTCTGGTAATACGTAATATTATTAAAATAAATCGCATTTATCGAATTTTAATACACAACACTTTTTGTATCATCCATCATTCTTTCTATTATAAAATATAAACTTTAAAAGATCGTATTTCAAGAACGAATTGAGATATCGAATTGAAATAAAGAATAATTAAAGTAAATTTGATGAAGATTGAATGTGCCATAAATAATTTCTTATTTCAAATAAACATCGTTGTTATGATTTTTTAAACCCAACTCTGCATATTTGTTTGTTGTTATAGGTACGAGATGTTAAAACAATCGTATCTCAAGAACGAATGGAGATATCATCATGAAATAAGAAGCAATTTAAAGCCAATGTATTTAGTATTTGGTATATTGAACACCATTTTTTTGAATCTGCAAATTTTGGAGATATGATATTTCGATTGCAACCTTGCATAACCTTAAACATAAATGTTAATTTCTGTACGAATCATAATCAATTTAACTCTAGTATTTGTTATTAAAATTATGTCACCACTTACAGGAACACCTGTATAATAGCCTCGAGTATTTAAAATTAATATTTACAATATATAATAAGTAAAACAGATTCTAAATATTCTGACTTTATCATCAAACGTATTACTTATTATACATAGAATCAAAGATTAAAGTTTAAGCTTTAATTTAAGATACAAGTCGTTTCTTAATTCTTATTAATAAAGTTGGTATGATTTTTTAAAGTTTAACAAATATTTTCGATTTTTGCTATAATTAAACATTGACGTTTCTCGATTTTACAAACAAACTTTATCATCAAACGTATTACTTATTATACATAGAATCAAAGATTAAAGTTTAAGCTTTAATTTAAGATACAAGTCGTTTCTTAATTCTTAATTTAAGATACAAGTCGTTTCTTAATTCCTATTAATAAAGTCGGTATGATTTTTTAAAGTTTAACAAATATTTTCGATTTTTGCTATAATTAAACATTGGCGTTTTTCGATTTTACAAACAAACTTTATCATCAAACGTATTACTTATTATACATAGAATCAAGGATTAAAGTTTAAGATTTAATTTACGATACAAGTCGTTTCTTAGTTCCTATAAACAAATTCGATATGATTTTTTAAAGTTTAACAAATATTTTCGATTTTTGCTACAATTGAACATTGACATTTCTCGATTTTACAAACAAACTTTATCATTAAACGTATTACTTATTATACATAGAATCAAAGATTAAAGTCTAAGCTTTAATTTAAGATACAAGTCGTTTCTTAATTCCTATTAACAAAGTCGGTATGATTTTTTAAAGTTTAACAAATATTTTCGATTTTTGCTATAATTAAACATTGATATAATTAAACATTGATATTTCTCGATTTTGCAAACAAACTTTATCATCAAACGTATTACTTATTATACATTGAATCAAAGATTAAAGTTTAAGCTTTAATTTGAATCAAAGATTAAAGTTTAAGCTTTAATTTAAGATACAAGTCGTTTCTTAATTCCTATAAACAAATTCGATATGATTTTTTAAAATATAACAAATATTTTCGATTTTTGCTATAATTAAACATTGACATTTCTCGATTTTACAAACAAACTTTATCATCAAACTGTATTACTTATTATACATAGAATCAAAGATTAAAGTTTAAGCTTTAATTTAAGATACAAATCGTTTCTTAATTCTTATTAACAAAGTCGGTATGATTTTTTAAAGTTTAACAAATATTTTCGATTTTTGCTATAATTAAACATTGACGTTTCTCGATTTTACTAACAAAGTTTATCATCAAACGTATTACTTGTTATACATAGAATCAAGGATTAAAGTTTAAGATTTAATTTACGATGCAAGTCGTTTCTTAGTTCCTATAAACAAATTCGATATGATTTTTTAAAGTTTAACAAATATTTTCGATTTTTGCTGTAATTAAACATTGACATTTCTCGATTTTACAAACAAACTTTATCATCAAACGTATTACTTATTATACATAGAATCAAAGATTAAAGTTTAAGCTTTAATTTAAGATACAAGTCGTTTCTTAATTCCTATTAACGAAGTCGGTACGATTTTTTGAGTGAATCCCAAGAAGAGGAGAAATTGGATTAACCTCCAATCAAATAGCCTCTTACGAATCAGTTGGTTATGTTATGTCCTGCTCAAGACATCCAAGAATGGAAGCTGTGCAAATAACAAAATAAAATCAAATCTATTCTGCTAAGGAAAAACGCGCTTTGGTTATGTTTAGTAAAGAGGAAAAAGAGAAAATTAAGAAATTAAGCAAAAAAAAAGATTAGGTTTTAATTATTTTATTACAATAATTCAATTAAATTATCTTTATGATTGTTTTATGTTTTTCTCCCAATCCAACCATCCTCCTCTATAATTACGAAGCCTTTTAAATCCCAATGATTGAGCTATATTTAGAGCTTTTTGACTCCTAACCCCAGCTTTGCAAGAAAAAACTAAGGGAGTATCAAAATTGGGTTTATCACGTCGATATTTTCCGATAAAATCTTGAGATGATAAGTTTTTTAACGTTGTTTCTAATTCATTCACTAAAAAAATTAAATTTTTAGGTTATAAAGATTTTACATAACCCCCAAAAAAAATTTTTTTTTTTAATTTAATATCTTACAAGGAATATTTATTGATCCGGGAATACTCCCCGTTTCTTTTAACTCCTCAGGTTCTCTAACATCGATGAGATAAACCGTTTTGTTATCTTTCATGTTTTTAACTTCTTCGTAAGTGACATCTTTCGTATCACCTCCGGAGTGGCAAAAAAATTTGTGAGTTGGATTAACTGAACCTGCCGAGACGAAAGTCGTTAAGAAAAAGATAATTTGGATTAGTTTTTTCATAATTTGTTTACTTTATCATTTTGATTAATATCAAAGCTAACTAAAAATTGCTATTTTTTTTAAAACTTACTTTGATACAAATGAGGGTTTTGAGATGATTTAAAAATTATTGATGAAATGTTTCTTAAAATTAACGGCGTTTTTGAGGAAAACATCTTGTAATTAATAATTTGGATTAATTTTGGAGTTTTGACATTTCAAAAATTTTAGGTTAGAATTAAATCTATGATGATGACGTTGAGGATTAGATAAAGATGGAGAATTAAAAAGTCGATTATTTAATTATTATTAAGTTTAATTCGTGTATAATTAGGTTAAATTTAAGCAATGATTCATTAAATTTAAATAAATTAATGATAATAATTTAAAAAATTAGTCACGATTTTGACGTGGTCGCCCCCTCTATATATAGCAAGAAGTCTATGAATTATTCAATGACAAAACCTGTCAAATCTGTCAAACGCAATTTATTTGCATTTTAAATCGCTTTTACCAAGTAAGTTTAACTTAAAACTACCCAAGTATTATTTAAAATTGTTAACGATATCAATATAAACCGTTTAATTAATTCCCGATGATCGATTAAGTCGAATTACGTCATCACAAAGTTGTCGGTTGAAAAAAAAGGTTGAAGTTGTCGGGCGTGCGTTCAGTTCGATTTATGTTCTAAAAAAAACGCCTTTTCAACCCCGAATTATAGTGTATTCCGTTTATTTGAACTTAAATATCGAGGTAAGATATTTTGTTTTAAAATGAATTAACTTTATTTTTGTTTAAAACTTGTAGCGACAATGAAGGCGAGTGGACCTGATAGAAAAGCGGAATTGGAACGGAAAAAAGCTAAACTTAGAGCGATACGTGATGAGAAAGAACGAAGACGGAAAGAGAAGGAGCATAAGGATATCGAGGGTGCTACGGGGAATATCCTTTCGGGAGCTGCAGGAGATAGTTCAAGCCGAGAATTGGATGAGATGCTTAGTTCTTTGGGGGTGACGCCGGTTTCGGAGGTTTTATCAAGTATTTCTAGTGCACAATCGCTTACTCCAAACGATAGTAGGAACCACACTCCTGATACTTCGTTACAACCTAACAGTTTACCAAATAAGTAAGTTTGTTTGTTTTTTTAATTGTGGTATTTAATAATTTTTGGTGATTTAGCGTTGGACATAAAAAACGTATGCCAACGTTGACCTTGGTACCGGGTCAACCGACGAATATCCCCCCTAAAGAAGTTGTCGTTTATACGAAACAAACCCAAACGAACGTTTCTGGACCAGAAAGGGACGGTAAGTTAAAAATTTAAAAAAATCGATGTTTTTGAATCATTTTTTATTTATTTTAATTTTGGAGGGTGGTAGAAGGATTGGTTATAGTTCATTTTTTTTCTGTAATTCCTGTCAAATTGTTGTAAAGTGCGCAAAATTAACAGGAAGTTTTGTTTTATCACCTTCACATAATTGTGATAATTGCTATGTTACCTTTTTATTGATATTTTGATGTAAAATCATTCCCAACCCCAGGGATCTTAGATAGGAGAACTTGGGATTGTATTTCGAAATCCCACCGTAAGATGGCATTAGCGTCTATACTAAAATAATTTAATTAAACTAATAATTTTATTATTAATAGTGGGAATGATGAGGGACAGCAATAACAATTATTACCAGTATCATTCTTTTAATTTAAAAAGTTAATTCAACTTTTAAAAAGTTGAAGTTAGTTCAGAATGACAGATGAAAACGTCATTTAAATTTTTTGGTAAAAGTACAGGGTGGTTCAAATTCGATGTCCGAATAGGCTAACTTGGAAACTATAAGAGTTAGAAAAAAAGTAGGTTACATGTCATGATCTCGTTTTTCGAGAAACTGCTAATCCCGAAAACCTCAAAGCGCTAGCGTCTTTTGTTTTTTCCCTAGAGGCCAAAATTGAAAATATCGTAAAATCAGCAAGTGCAATTATCTTGGCTGTTATTATAGGTGGAGTATTATAACTAAGACATTATATGGACACTTTTTTACAGAGAATTTCATGACGTAGTCAAAAAAAATTTTTCGGTTTTAGATTTTGCGATATCAAGATAATTTTGGTTTTTTTAAATGGAAACAGCCACTGATTATTCGCTTATTAAATTCGTTATTTTTTTCTGATTACAAAAATATAGGGTTTGACAGGTCTATTTCTTATTGTTTTAGAATAAAGCTAAAAATAAACTTTTTTTTAGTGTCCTCAAAGAAATTAAATTTACAGTTTCCTGTAAATTATAACTAAAAATTAAAAAACATATTTCTAATATTTGAAACAAATGAAGGGTCCAGGGGAAAAACGTGATAAGTCACAAATGCGTAATTTCATAAGAGAACTGTTTTAAAGTTACCAGACTTTTTCTAGGCCGATGGGAAGTAATTCTTCGATTTTGCTATGGTAATTAATATTCGAATTTATTTTTTATTGATTCTGTGAACACAATAATTCTTAAATGTTTGCGTTCTACGCGTAAATAAAGTCAGACTAGGGCAACAAATAGAATTGCAATGCAAGAAAATGGTAAGTCCCACACTTATCATCTTTTTGCTCTTTACCAAAGAAGAGTTAATGGAAAAAAATTTAATATTTGAGGATAGATCAATGCAATAATAAACACAGGTGCTTATAAAACAAAAAGAAAATATAACTACATTATTTAAAGTATCAAAATCAATTTTATTAACGAAATCTGTAACAAATAAATGTTCTTATTTATGTGGTAAAGAATAAAAATATTCGGCAGCTTTATCGCCACAAAACCTTTTGAGGAACTGTAAATTTTGATATTTTTCGGCCGAGATTGGAAGGAGACCTGAGAAACAATAATATTTTTTAATAATATAGAATAGAAATTTCTAAGTTATAGTTAATTTAAACATACGATCGTATAAATGCTGTGGTAATGAGAATTCGTTTGGACGTAATTGTTGAGATGGTTTAGAACGTTTCCTTTTAGAAGTTTTCAGTGATTCACTGAACCAAGGACCATTATAGGCAGTTTTGTACCGTATAACATCAGAATCTTCCTGGTTAATATCTATAATTCTGACGGGTCTTGATTTAAACGGTAATTTTTTTTTATAAAGAGTGTCCAAGTAAACGGTCCAGCTTCGAAAGAAATTTTGCTGAACTGGAATTACATGAAAGGGAAATGGCTTCCTCCGTGCATTTTTAAATACTTCCAGCCATTCATCGGGATGTTCCACCCTAATCTTTTGATTCACAAGAGCCATGTTCTTATCACACTCTAGGTATGAGTGTCCCCTTATGGGAAATGTCATTTTCAATGATGTCAATTTGCGTTCTTCGTGTACTACGTGATGTAAAAAACGAAAGATTGTCACATTTTTGTTTTCGCCACCACAAGAGTCACAAAATATCACAAGCTCTTTCACTTTAGTGTCTAAAAGTTATATATAAAATGGTGAAGTAAGGAGCAAACATCATCGTTACCTTTTTTACCAACAGTTTCTGGGTAGACGTAAAACACGCTTTCACCAGTTGACAATATATGGATATGGAAAGCAAACACAGAAAGTTGTCGTTTATAATAAAAATCATTGGTCGGTATATTGGGGACTGGCAAATTTTTACCAAAATCTAAGCAGATTGCATCTCTAGTTTCAGATTTTTTACATGACTTCCTAGAATTTCGCTTTTTTCTATAAAAGGTATCTGCGTTTAAAAGATGAAGTTTATTTTCTATTGCTATGCGATCGACTTCAGTTTTAAGTGTTAAATGTTTTTCCCTATCCGTTTCATTGCTTATTTGTGATAGTAAACTCTTCTTTCTTGCTGCAAACTCATCACAGTTGCTACACGTATCGGTACGTGGGTAACCAAACGCTATGTTGAAGTCATTATTGAAGATTGTTCTATATGTTTCATAAGAAATCTTCAGTTCGCCATGAATTTCTTTAAACATCAAAAACAACTTTTTGATGTTTAATTCTTCAGGCAGATATGTCTTAGTGGAATCGTGCAAACTGTAGTGACTAGATCTTCCTTTCAGAGATTTAATATGAGCATGAACAGCACTCTTCACCTCTTCAGAAATTTTGTTGGGGCGATTTTTGTGTTTGCCTCTCTTATCCTTTGGTGCTGTTCCGTAATTTTTTAACGATGCTAGTATATAATCGACTTTTGATCTCCCTATACCATGCAGAGCCATAAATGCTACCTTACAGACAACTTTTTCTTCCACATTTTCATCCATGACTACGCGGACTTTATAACAGTAACTAGCTTCCCGAAATAACACTTCTGCTTCCGGTTTTCTGTTCCTTCTTCGCCGAATTGGCAATATAGATATTAATCCTGCCAAATGCAAATTTTGTTCGTCATTTGACTTTAATTTATTGAAATGATTAATAATTTTTTCTTTACTTTTTTTAGATAATAGTTGTTCAAAACATTTTTTCTTGCATGTGCAGGCTCTTCCTGTTTCATGGGTTTGTAACCGCAATTTCTTACCGACCTCAGTAATTCTTCCAAATATTTTTCTTTTCTTTGTCTTCAACTCTTTACATCCACCGCTATCATCTTCACTTAAACCTACAGATGGACTTTCAGACATTTTGAGATATTATACAACACAAAAACCACAGAACTACTATATTGTTACTAACAATGTGTTGATTACGTCGTCAAGGCGAAAAAGAACACGTTTTGTTGCAACAATAATATTAACAATAATAGTTATTTAGGGCTTAATGCCGCGATACACATTATATTTTTTCTGCAATTACAATTTTATTAAAGTATTCAAACCGTTTTGAATTACGTTTACCGGCTGTCACTGTCAACTAAAAATTTAATAAATGACAAGTAATACCAACCTAAATATTGTTGTCATTGTATATTTTTTATTCGTTTAAATGGACTAAAAAAAGTTTGCTGAAAGAATTATGTTTTTTTTGGACTTAACGGTTTTTTATACTGTTTTAAATGGACTTACCATGTTTTTCCCCTGTACATCTAAACTTATTTTGTGAATATCTCAAGACTAAACATGTTTTCTTCTAAAACTCATTGATCATCTTGTAGGTTGTAATTTTTACTACAAGGTTCAATCATTTAGATCAATTAATGAAATATTGGACTTATCACGTTTTTCCCCTGAACCCTTCAAATACATTTGTTGAACTATTTAATTTATATTTGTTTTACACAAAAATTGGAATAGATTGCATTATTTCACATTTTTTTTTTAAGATGTATTACGAAAAGTTTAAAATGTTAGAATGTTACATGTTAGAAAATAAAGTAAATTTTATATACATTTTTAGTAGAATAATTTTTAGTTACAGTATCGTAATTTACAGGAAACTGTAAACACTAAAAAAAACTTTATTTTTAGCTTTATTCTAAAACAATAAAAAATAGACCCATATAACCTCATATTTTTATATTCAGAAAAAAATAACGAATTTAATAAGCGAATAATCAGTGATTGTTTCCATTTAAAAAAACGAAAATTGTCATCATATCTAGAAATCTAAAACCGAAACATTTTTTTTGACTACGTCACCAAATTCTCTGTAAAAAAGTGTCCATATAATGTCTTAGTCATAATACTCCACCTATTATAATAACCAAGATAATTGCACTTGCTGGTTTTACGATATTTTCAATTTTGGCCTCTAGGGGAAAACAAAAGACGATAGCGCTTTGAGGTTTTTGGCATTAGCAATTTCTCGAAAAACGAGATTATGACATGTAAGCTATTTCTTTTCTAACTCTTATAGTTTCGGAGATAGCCTATTCGGACATCGAATATGAACCACCCTGTACAATAAAGTAATAATGGTATGATTAAATACTTAGATTATAATTGACATTATAGCTTTGGAAGCTCGTCAGATGCAATCTTAAATGTCATATGATGCCGTGATATTCAAATGTGGCGGCATTATTTGACAGGTGTAATTACATCTGAGGAATTCCCAACCAGTCGGAACGTTAATTGGAGCCACTACGTAATTACTTTTCAAACAGTTATTCTGTGGTTGGAGCTTTTATATATAAACCCGATCCAACCTGTATTTTAGTGGTTCGGTTCTTAGCTGAATAATTCCAAAATATCCCCAACAGATGGCGCCACATGCGTTTTGTTTAGAGAGTTGCATTTCTACGAAGCTATTTTCCATGATCATTCCATTACAAACTTTCGTGTCCAACGAGTGATTATTCTCAGAAGTTGGCGCAACAATTAATCAGAAAAGGAATCGCTTATTAGGCACCAGATTGTCCAAGTTAATGTTTTTGAATTCTATACTT